GCCCCCCACAAATTTTCATTCAGTGAGTTTTAAATGAGGCCTGCCATTTTAAAGTCATACCTAAACATTTCTTTTGCAGATATTCCCCTGGTTTCCCCAGTTACAGTGCTGTGGTCTTCAGAAGTTCATTGCGTCATCAGTGGTCCTGTTTTCCTTCATTGTGTGTGACACCCTGTTCCATCTGGTTGGGCCTACAGAACCCTGTACAAGAGACGGGAGGGTGAGCTACAAAGGCTCCTCTTCCCTCACTATCCACAGAGTGTGCATTCATCAACACAGAAGGGAAACACACTAAAATCAAGCACTAATTAAACTTGGGTCTGGTTTCTTGGCTGAAATCTAAATAAATTCATTTCTCTGTCCCTGGGGCCTGCTCAATTTCATACATCAGTCACTTGGTGAGTCCCACTTACAGAAAATTAAGTGAAATAAAATAACCATCCTACTGAAACCAAACATCTGTTAGATGATATGCAAGACTCGAATCTGCATGTCTGCCCCATATGACACTTGTCCCTGGATGCTCAAGTGGCACATGTGGCTTCTCCTTAAGGATCCTGTCTCTCCTAGAGACCCGTCCTTATATCACTACTTAATACCTTGACTTCCTCTTCCAAAGAAGCATTTCCTTGTCCTCTTTCATGGCTCATTGTGACATCAGTGACCCATGGCATCCAGAGCTAATGGGGTTTCCTTGAGAGGTAGGAGAAACCCTCCTTGTTCAGACACACAGACATGTTCAGCTTCCACCAGAGTAGCTTTTGTCTTCTTTGAAATAGCAGGCTGGAAAAGTACTTTCTGAGGAAAGATTTCTAGCCTCCTAATGTTTTAGCAGCAGAATGTCTTCCCTCTCAAGTCTTCTACAAAACCTGCTATCCACTTGTACAAAAGTCAGGTAGAAGTCATTTTTATGATTAGAGCAGAGTTTGGAGCTGAGAGCCTAGTCCAATCTGCCTGTTAGCTCTGGATAGTGGTCCAAATAAAGTAGCTGGACAAGTCCCTGTTCAATGTGATAATGATGGCTTCTAGAAGCTTCACAACTTTGGGCCATAAAACCTCCCAGCCTCAAGTCTTATCTCACACACTGAAGCCAACTGGATTCTTGTCTTCTGCCTGAATGAAAAACTTTGCACATCTGTGAAGTCCTATACTTTCCATGTTGCTACAAACTCCTAACATTGGGCCAGACACGGCTAGAGAGGAGGCCGTACTCCCCACAGCTCCTCATGCTCAACTCCCACAACCACGGCCCCTTTCCTGCTGGCACCAGCACCACATGCCTCTCACTCACTCCAGTGTCAGTAACATTTCTTGAACCATCACATTCTTCTCCTTTCTGCCTCCCTTCTCCAACTATATTTCTCTTTCTCTTATCTTTGTCCTTCAAAGCTTTACCCAGCAATCCTTTCATAAGTTAGTAAAAACAATTAATGTCAAGGTTCATCTATAAACAGCGATAAAATAAGACACTGAAAAAAAAGCAGCACTGAAAAAGGCCAGAAATCTCCACTAAATACACAGAATTGTTATAAAGGTCAATAATACACATTCACATAGAAGTACAGTAAATATATATATAGTACATATACACTACATATATATATATATATATATATATATAGTACATATGTACATGATACACAGAAGAGTGTTCAGCCTTCCCAAAGAAGGGATTCTGACCCAGGCCATAAACATAGATGACCTTGAGGACATGCCACGTGAGATAAGCCAGGGACAAAATGACAAATACAGCAGGAGTTCACAATATGAGGCACCTAGCGTAGCCAAGTTTACTGAAACAAAAAATAATGATGATCGCCAGGGGCCAGGGAAGGGGGTAAAATGGAAGTTGTTAACTAATGTTTTCCTTTTTTATTTTTTTTGGTACCAGGGATCGAACTTGGGTCCTTGCACTTTCATAGCAGGAGAAACCACTGAGCTAAATCCCCAACCCATGTCTAATGTTTTTCAAGACGAAAAGTTCTGGAGATTGGTTGCACAACAATGTGAATGTACTTAACACTGGTAAACTGTACACACAGAAATGGCTGAGAAAATTTATATGTATTTTACTACAATTTAAAAAATTAATAGAAGGAGGATTCTTAGAACACCATTAGAGACTGTCAGAACATCAGCTCGCAACTCTGAAAACTCATGAAAGGAAACAAAATAACCATCTTGTTTTCCAATACAAAGTATATTTTAGAGCAACCAGAAGACTTCCTGGAAGAGGGAAAGATATTTTATATAGAATTCTAGCTAATAAATGGAGAAAAAGAATAAATTTAGAAAAATACACTTTTGCAACTAAATAAACTTAGACTCAAGCAGTGATTACTGATGGGTACTAAAATCATTAGGTAAAGGGTAGGAAGCCTCCAGGAATAGTGGTCTCAGCTACTCAGGAGGCTGAAAGAGGGTCACAAACTCCAGCCCGCCTCAACAACTAAGAGAGATGCTTTCTCAAAATTGAAAGATCAGCTGGGTGTGGTGGTACACACATGTAATCCCAGCACTCAGCAGGCTGAGGCAGAAGGATTACCATGAGTTCCAGGCCAGCCTAGGCTACACAGTGAGTTCAAGGCCAATCTGGACTACATGGCAAGACCCTGTCTCAAAAAAACCCCCAAAAAACTAAAACGCCTGGGGATGCAGCTCACTGTTCCCTGGATTCAATTACCAGCACCGAAAAAAAAAAAAAAAAATGGCTGGGGACTTCACAAGCACAAGGTCCCAAGTTCAATCCCTGGTGCCAAAAAAAAAAAAAAA